CCAATTATGAATGTCATTACATTGAATACCTAAAATGTACCAATAAAATTAATTTTAGAAAATTAATGAGTGATTGAATGCAAAAAATATTCCAGACTGTCATTCTAGGTCCTAGAAGAATTGCCCTGACCTCCACCTTCCGACCCCATTTCCAACTAAGTCTGATTGGTTATTTCTAACACACTCATGCCTCCTACCTGGCCTGTCTAAAATATACCGGGTTTCTTCTTCTTTCCATTTAAATTATCTTTATCTTTTTAGATCCAGATCAAATGCCAATTCTTTCATAAGGCAATATAAAGTGGCAAGCTCTTTAACTATATTATTTACCCATTTAAAGTCTTTAACATTTTTTAACTCCTCTAGAGCTTCTCAATTCTTATAAGAGACAAGAAATTCTCTAAAAGATATCTGTATATGAGGAGTAAATAAAATTCAGGTCCCACTATAGCTGTTTTAAGAAAATTATATGCTTTTTTATTATTTTGCTTTCATGTATAATGTGTAGTAGTATGGTTTAAAGGCAATATTCAAAATTAGTGTGTAAGAGTTGGTTTAAGTTACAACTCTGATTTCCACTTTAAATTGTAGATAGTATTTTCCATGGAATGATCCATGAAATGGCAACTGAAAAGTAACTCTTTAACTGTGAATTCATCATACTTTACTTTCAGCATTCAAATCCATAAAGTAAAACAATATCTCTTATATCTTCTGTGATAAGAATTATTCAGAAAATTCTCAAAACTTAACCATTTTTGCTGATCTACATACTCTGTTGACTCAGTGGTAAACATATGCAGACAAACCTAGATATGTGGGCCTATATATTAGAGCAGATGATGCAATGTGTATTACAATGATAAAGGAAACTTGCCAACCTGGTTACCCACTTGGCACTGCTGATGTCTTCTGCTGAATTCATGACATCCAAGCGAGGTTTCCTATGACTTAGCTGCAGGCTGATCTGAGGAACACCATCAGATAGCTCTGGCTGCAGGACCTGGTGGACCTGAATGGATCCCTCACTCTTGGACTTTGAGATCTAAAAATGAAATTGTAAAAATAAAAAGGAGGGATTGGGGAAGATATATAGAGAACAATTTGAAAGTTTTTTAAATTAAGTTATCAAAAGGAGATCATTTATTCTAATTATTGATAATCCAATGTATTCCTAGCACTCCAGAAAAAAAATCAAATGAGACTTGGAACTTAAAATACATAAAAAATTATTATATGGCAAAGGATTTAGAGAACTGGAGATACCAGCAGTTCCAAGGGGAACTTTCAAACCATATATGTCCTACACTCCTCACTGGGAATCTGATGAAATCCTCCCTAAGCTCACCTCTCCTTAGCATATATAATAAGAGATGGTGTTGTGTCACACTGGCTACTCCGAACAAAGGAAAGAATTGGAAGAAGATGGGGAAAAGGCTGTGCTATCGTTTGGATCAGGAATGACCCCCAAAGGTCCATCCATGGATTAAGTCTTGGTCCTTAGCTTGGTGCTTTTAGAAAAGGTTGGGAACTTCCAAGAGGCAGGGCCTGAGGAGAGGTTTTAGGTCACTGGAGTTGAGCCCTTGAAGAGTTGAGGACCTTGAGGAGAGCACTTTGCTCTTCCATACACTCCTGCCATGAGGTACTGCCTCACCACAGGCCCAAAGCAATGGGACCAACAGATCATGGACTAAATTCTCTAAACTGAGAACCAAAATAAACCTTTCTTCTTTTCAAATTGACAATTTCAGGAATTCTTTTATAGTAGTGGAAAGCTGACTAACACAAGTTAAGGACCACTGAAATCAAGGATGTCTATATCAAAAGATGTTCAGAAATATAAACTACCAACATATAAAATATGTATTAGTTTGCTGATAGTTTCTATTGCACCCTTCTCCCACATAGAGTCTTGTTATGTTGCCCAGGCTGGCTTTAATGTCTAGGGTCAGACGATCTTCCTGCCTCGGCCTTCTTAGTAGCTGGGCCTACAGGCACTTTGTATAACAAAGTATGGTCTAATAAACTTTTAAGTAACAGAGTAAATAGGAAAAACACAATCTTTTTTTAGTTTTTTTCTATCTCTGGCAGCACAGACAATATGTGTTTCAAATGAATACCAGGTATACTAACTTCTCACACTATATCTTAAGTTTGTTCCCTCCATCCCCAAATAATTTCATGCTCTCTGATTTCAGATCAGAAAGGACAAGGACATAAACAATATTATTTTTCTAAAGAGTATAAGAAAACTTGATGTCAGAATTACACGGGGAAATTCAGACTCTTGGATAAGATATATTTACTACACTGGAAACTTTTTCTTACCTCTAGCACTTTTCTCACACTTGTCACTATACCTGGAATGCCATCTTTTCTCACTGAAAGCTCAGTAAACTGCCTAAGACCAAATCCAACCCTAATTTCCTTTGAGGCTCACATAACTCAATTTACATTAAGTTCCTCTAATCTCAGGTCCTAATAACCTTTCTCAATTCTGAATTTCTGCAACACAGATGATAATCTACAGATTACATGCTGCTGCTATCTCCCTTTTAGTTACCCAATGTTTCTAGAGGTCATATGGCTTCAACCAGATCTTGAGATAGAGAGTACAGTCTTCCCTCCTTTCTATTTTTCCTCTTCTCCACTTCTTTTAAACAGTATTATTATTTCTGGCCTTTTACCCATTAAGTCTAGCAAAATTTTGGATCCGTTAATAAATACTTATTTTCAGATAACACACTTTACAACTATAAGTTATTGCCAAGACATTCACTATCCAAGAAGCTACAATAATAGATATTAAAAGTAATACAAGGACAATTATGACCAGAAATATTTAATAAATTCATGTCTCTATAAGCATTACATAAAATATATATATACAATTATGACTTGTTAATTACAAGTAAAATGAAGTAAAATAGCACATACACAAAATATATGAACATAATTTGGCATAGTGTTATATGTACCATACAGAAAAGTGAGTTTATTGTTGTCATATAAAATTTTCGCAGCTCTGGTGATTGTCACAGCACTGAAAATCAAAGAAACGAAACATTTTTAAAATTATAAACTTACAAAAACATTTTCCTAATCCATGGAAATATTTGCCAAGATTACTTTTTTCTTTGACAAAAGTAGTGTATATTAAACCTGTAAATGTTGCAGAATGGCTAACTTTGGCTCATAAACATGTATTATTTCATATAGTTATTTTTTTGTTTTAAGGACACTTAAAACTTACTCTGTTAGCAATGATCAAGAAATGTCAAGATTACTTTAAAAAAATTCAATAGAATGGCCAAAGAATATGAAAAATACAAATACCTATCTTTCATAATGGGGCTCCTTTTGCATGTGATTATTTTTCTTAAGACTAGACATGAAAGGGCCAGGGATTTAGCTCAGTGGTTTCGGCAACTGCCTTGCAAGCGCAAGATCCCAAGTTTGATCCCAGGTACCAAAAAAAAAAAAAAAAAAACAAGACTTGAAGGGTCAAGGAAACGCTAAAGGTCAGATTGAAAACTGAGTCTAAAAATCTTATATTTATTTAGACTTATTTTGTCAGTAC